TTCGAGCACAACGGAACAGTGGCCGCTACAGCAGGTGGTCTGATGCACAGGGTGATTCGAGGTACCATAGACAAAGCTCACCTCCTCAGAGACACTTTGGGAGAGATAGGAGTAATGGAGAAAGATCTAATCAGGGTGAAAATACAGAATATAAACCCCAGGAAGAAAGTAGGCTTAGCCAACCTTGGAACAGTCGAAATCAAGGTAAAAATTCTCAAGATTGTGACAGTAGTCTGTCAAGAGAATCTTATCACAAGAGAGACGATTCCCCTGACAGGAGACGCAGCAGATATTCTCACCGGGATCATTCGCCACACAGAAGGAACAGGTCGTGGGAAAAAGGCAGCCATTTCCACCGCAGAAAATACTCACCTTCAAAACGAGGCTGGTCTCGTGATGGAAGAGATAGAAGCCGCTCGGACCAGAGGAGGTCACGGTCTCGTTCTAGATCAAGAGAACGGAACAGCCGCCCATCATCTCTTGAGGAGAGGGAGAGAAAGTCTAGATCTCAGTGGAGCTTCTCCTACTTTAATGATGGGAGTGGAGATACCAGCAATGTCAAAACCTCTGTAACGCATAGTGGTCATAGTTTACACAGTATGAAGAAAAGTCCAGTGCCTGATGACCACAATGATGGGGAGAAGAACTCTAGATCAACAAATGCAGGTGATAACTTAGAATTCAAAGATAGTGATGGTTGTGACAAAGCATCTAGTTTAGATACAAGAAATAAGAGACTTGAAGATTCTGAAGATGATGTGATAGACAGTATAGATATAGATTTAGAACCAAAATTAAAACAGTTCACTGAATATGAAAAGAAAGGCAGTAGAGATTCGCATCATAAAGAATTGAAAGAAAGTAGCTCTGAGAGAGAAAATGAAAGTACTCATAGAAATGGCCAGAAATATCATGAAAGTACATATTCTAAGAAAAAAGAAAGTATTGAAAAAACAAATTGTCAGGTACATCATGTTAGTGAACAGGGCACATCAAAGCATCTGCTGCATGAAGAGATCACCAACCATCAACTGGATGAGGTTAAATACAAAGGAGAGAGCTGGAAAAAAGATATTTGGAATAATGTAAACAAAGATGGTGAGGAAGAAGACAGATCAGGGAATCACAAGAAAAAGAAAATCAGACTGTTTAGTTCTTTATTTGGAGAGGATGTAGATGATAAGCAGAATCATGACTTGGGTCACAAAAGCTTAGAGGATACAAAAGAGAGAGGAAGTAGTGCAAGTAAAGATAAGAAAAAGAATTCCTCAAAACACAGACCAAAAGAAGAAACAGAAAATACAGATAACAACATCTTAAACCGAGATCTTTTTGGTTCTGATACTGATGATGAGAAAGAAGTACAAAAAAGAGCTAGTCTTTCTCCAGATCAAGTGCTGCAGTCAAAATCAAAAAGTGAGAATATAAAGGACAATAAAGTAAGTAAAGAGGAGTTTGGCCAATCTGACACAGACAGACAATCAAATACCAAGAATGGGTTGAAAGATGAAGACAATAGGAAGAGTGGGAAGCAGCTAAAGAGCATCAGTTTGTTTTCAGATGATCTTGATAGAAGTGACACCAAAGTTTCCAAGGAGCACAGCAAGCCGAGAAAGGAAGGGATCCCTCAGTCAAAGGGATTTATAATCAAGAAGAAGTCTGATGTCAGCAATGGCACGCAAAATGACAAGGAGAAGGAGCTGAAGGAGAGATTCATAGCAGGCCTGACCAAAGGTCTCTTTGGCAAAACTGCTCCAGTTGATAGATTTGAGGACATGGAAGAGGCAGACAACAGTTTTCATCTCTCTCATGATGTGGTAAAGGATAAAAAGAGCCTAGCTAGTCATGATGTTAAGAAAAGTAGTTGTAAAATAGAGAAGGATGTAGAAAATACTAAAACAGAGGCTAAAAAGTTGGCATCAAGCCATAAATCAAGTACAAAGGCATTGACATCCAGTGCATCCAAAACGGAAGAGAAGCACAAGAAGGAAGACTCCTGGAAGAGTGAAAAGGTACCCCTCAAGAAGGACCCAAAAGTCATGTCAAGTCTGTTTGGGAATATGAGTGACATGGAAGATTCCTCAGATGTAGATATAACAAAAGTATCTCGCCAAGAAGCCATTGTAGACAGGATTGTGAAAAACTTTGGGAAAGTTGCAAGTGAAACTCCAGAATCTAAAATTTCCAAACAAGGGGAAAGAGAGAAGGCCCACCATAAACATTCGAAGGAACATTCAAAGCATCATACCAGTAATGAAACTGTTAAAAAGGAACACAAGAAGGACAAAGATAATACGCAACCTTCAAATGGAAAACAAGAGATGACAAAGAAACCTGACGAGACTAAAAAAGAAGGTAATTAAGATTTTTTTATTGTTCTGTGTTATGTATTAGATTAAAACAATCATTTGCTGTATATTATTGCTTTTTGTTGTGTGTTGGACAATGGTTGACGTCCTATGAGGTTATGGCTACTTTCTCACTTGTTCCGAGATGACCT